AAAATATAGAACATCTATAATATCTTATAAAAAAGCCGTTGATTGGGGTACTGTAGATTTACAATACCCCTTCCAACTTTATCTCTCTTTCTGTTTTTTTTTTAACTTTTTAGTGGGGTAGTCGTTGCTGGTTAAAAAAAAATGATAGTTGTCAGATCAAGATCCATCTACGTACAATGCCAATTCGACTTTGTCTTCGTTTTTTAAAAAAAAATTGTTACTTTTTTTTAGATATGATATGGTAAAAATAAAAAACATAAAAAAATATGTTGGCCTTGTAATAAAAGAGGTAATGTGGAACATGCAAAAAAATTAAATTGTTAATATTAAACTTACAATTAAAAATGAGTAAATTATTTTGACATTCCTTTTGTTTTATCTTAATTAATGATATATATCTTATATTTTTTGAAACCTATATGATCATTTTTTTAATATAAATAGTTATAAAATACAAACCTCCATTCTATTTTTAAGATTTTATGTTCATTCATCTAACTATTAATTGATTATTAAATCATATGTATTAAACTAAAATGCTCCTATTTAGATATAAATATTGCCTAAAAACGTTTAAATTACCAAAAGCTTAATTTTGTAACTTTTTTAAAAAGTTAAATATATAAATTAGCCAAAATATTTTAAAAACATAAAGTCTATTTGAGAATATTACATTTGACTTTTTGAAAGTACTTTGACACTTTCAAAAGTTAAAGGATGTTTGAATTAAAAATGTAAAATGAATGTATGTCATAAGGTACGTTTCAAATGTGATTAAATGTGATTTTGAAAGATATAACTTTTGATAGCTTTTAGAACTCACATTTAGAATGTAAATATTTATTTTACCTCACCACTCTTTTGACTTTGTTCTTTTTTTTGGTATACTCTGCCTCTCTTCTTCCATATTAAGAGGCCACGATCAGATGCTCCAACACAATATATGGCTGTTATTCTTTGTAACTCTTCTCTTAAAGTGTTTTGTTTTGTATTATTATTGTTAAGTTTTAAATCAAACATTTAATCATGTTAATTTCTCTTTTAAATTTAAATTAAACTTACCTGGTTCTATAATATTATGATCACGTAAATAAAAAGAATCCCATGTAAATAAACATGCAAATTTAACATATTAAATTTTATGTCCTTTTATTTTTTTTAATTTTTTTTAAACATTTCTAATATATTTTATTTATATAATAAAAATTATAAGTTATCATAAATCAATATCCTTTTTTGTCATTATATACTTAAAAGTACATTTCAAAAGCACAAATCATCATTAATTTAAATATTTTTAGTTTGTCAATTAACTTTTGAAAAAATATATCCAAACACAAATTTCATTATAACAACCAACTTTTATTAAATTAACTTTTACTAAATAAATAGCAAACTAACTTTTGATGAATTGAAAATAAAACACACACATAGTTTATTTATGGACTCAATAAAGAGAAAAAATAAAATAAAATAAATTTAAAAAATTTGAAATAATTAAACTAGCTAAATAAATCTGAAAGCTAGAGGTACAAGAGCTGGGCTCAAGTATAAATTTTTTTATATTTATATATTTTAAAATAGATATGAATTGAGGATCTAATGGAATGGAAAGAATGTAAGATTTTAATAAACTTAATTTTCTTAAAAATTAAAGTAGTATAGTTTAAAGAAATGATGTGTGGACCTACAGTTAAATAATGTGAATGGGGGCATATATTTATAAATTTTAAAAATTTAGAGAAGGTGTGAAATATAATAATATTTTTATATTTTGAAAGATCATGGTAAAAGTAATAGGAGTTAGATATATAAAAAAAATTTCTAATGATATGAAAGTAGGCATGGTACCTATAATTTAATTAATAAAATTAAATTAGTAATTATTTTAAAAAATAATTTTTTAAAATTAGTTAATAGATGATTTTGTTAAAAATAATTAATAGTATAGTTGCAATCGGTAAAAAAGTGAATGTGTGATCTCCCATTAGAAAACATGGGTGTGCAACCAACATTTATACAAGTTAAAAATTTAGATAATGCATAAAAAATATAAAAATTTTAATATTTTAAAAGATCACGTAGAATTTATGGTAAAAATTGATGGTGAATATAAGATTTTTAATAGAAATAATAGGTGTTTGATTTGCAAAAAATTACCAATGGTAAAAAAATGATTGTAGAACCTATAATTTATTTAGGATTCATAGTAAAAATTATATGTGAATATAAGATTCTAAGTAAAAATAATAGGTGTTAGATATGTAATAAAATTTAAATAAACATAAACACAAATTATACTAAGTAATTTACCTCTTATTTCATTAAATTTTTTTTCACATACATGTTTGAAATATTATTTTAGTAAACTTACTCTATTTGTTAAAAAATATAAGATATTTTTTAAGAATTATTTCTCAGGGTTTGGATGTTAAAAAGTATAATATATTTTTAATGTTTAAATGTGTAGCTATTTTAGAGTTAAACACCCAATTAAATAGTAAATATAAAAAGATAATGTTAATTTAAAAATAGATAACTATTTAATTATGAGATGAGGTTTAATTAAAATGATTTATATTTTATTCCCATACATTGCATGGGTTATAAATTTTAAAATAAAATATTCTACTTAAATTTAAATTTTAAAATTTAATATATACTTATATAATAAGTTTTAAAATAAAATAATCACTAAATTTTTTATATGGACAGAAATTATAAAAAATATAAATTACAAAAAAAAATTCTCAGGTAAACTTATCTTTTGTATAATATTTTCCTTTAACTTTTAAAAACGGTACAATCTAACTCTTAATATTGACAAAAAATAACTTTAATTATTATTTAATCAAAAAATAATCTTAAAAATTATGGTGCAATATATTGTTATTTATTTTTATTTTCAATGTTATTAAAATATTCTTCTTGCTTTCTTTTCATTGTCTTCAAATATAATCAAATGTTAATTTCCTGTGCATCGCATGGGGTTAAAATCTAGTTGATAGTTAATTCATGATTTACAAGCTAATATTTTAAAAAAATTGACGTTTTTTAATTTTATTCTCATTAAATATACTATATAAGTACTTTGATAATTATAGTTAAAATTCTAACACATCAATTTTTTAAAAGGATAATAAATGAACTAGGATGTAGTTGAAAAAATAATTACAAAAAAATATAATTCCCTATATTCTAGATAAAAAAAAAACTTTTAAAAGATGCTCTATATTATGGTTTAGAGGGAGTGTTCCATAGTGTGCCTTATATTAAAAATTAAATAATGATTGTAAAAGATACCCTTTAATAAGGGCAAAAGGGAGTAATACTAGTTTAGGTATCATATACTCGTTATTTACAAGGCAGAGGGGTGTTTTTTATCCTATTTATATTTATCTTTATCATTTTACCCCTATTAAATGTAGGAAAATTTATTAAAATGCTAGATTATTTCATTTTAAAGTAGGTATATTTAATAAGGTAAAGTTGAAAACTTGTTAAATTTTTAAAGAAAGTTAATGAGATTTGAGTTTTTTTTTTTGGTTCTTGAAAAAATATTAAAAATCATTTATAAATAGGATTAGAGAGAGTAATTGTTTGTTAAATTATTCACTTCACGCGCGCACTGACAGAAAAGGAAGCATCATTTAAATTTAATTTAAATCCTAGTATTATATAACCTAGAGGCATGATCAGCCTTGCGTTTTGTGGAGCTCATGGAAAGAATAATGCACATGCATGATATTAAACTAATTATTATAGTTTTAACTAATGTATTATACACTACCCATCACTATTGGCGGCGTTCCATTTAATTAGTCTAAATATATTTATGAAGAGAAGCTAAAGATTCTAAAATCTTGCTGATATCAAACATCATAAATGTTTTTGTAAATTTGTTTACACGGTGTAACTTTGTTTGAGAGACTGTCGGCAACAATGTCTCAAGGTTTAACGAAGTGCTGTATATGAGAACATTAACGTGGCAGAACCGCAGAAGAGATTGATGCACCTGGCAATAACCTGGCACTCTGAAGAAAAGCAAAAGCATTCGGTCAAAATTTTAATATACAAACTTGTTAGATTGTTCAAGTGTGAGTGAACATAAAATGATTTAAGAATTCTCACATCGGATAAAATGGGACTTAACAAATATATAATAAAAAAAAAAGACTCATAAACTTGAGCCTTGAAGTTTTGAGTTAAGATGTGATGTTCTTTCGTTACTTTTGCCCATCTCTCTTCTCTTACCGTTCTCGGGCAATCGCTCCTCATTTCTAACAAAGCCATTATGAAAATTTAGGTTGACAAACCTAATTGAATCGGTAAATTATTCCCTCAGTTTTAAATTATAAGACACTTTTAGACAACATTTCACTTACTAATAAACATCATTAAATACACTTAATAACCTTATCTTTCAAAATAAAAATATAAACTTTCAAAAATATCTACCATTTAATATATTAAAAAGAGAAGAGATAAAAATTAGTTATAGAGAGAGAAAGGGTAAGTTAAAATTGATGCATTTAATGAAAACTTAATCTACTCAAAATATCTTATATTTTAGGATGGAATTTTTTTTAAAATGTCTTATAATTTAAGATGGAAAGAATATTAATTAAATTAATATATTGATTGATTTAATAAAATATTCTGTTTACAACAGGTCTAATCATAATTGGACCACAATTTTAATTATTAACTCTTAAATTAGTATATTGATGGATTCAATTTGCTACAAACCTTCACTATCTTATCTCTTCCTATATAGAGAGTTATAAACGACGCACAATGGATATGCGAGTCAAAGCCAAAATGCTATATATTCCATACCCATTTGTTTTCCTTAAAATGGAACGTATAAAAGATCAATATATCCCTGCATATTTCATAAGGGCAAAAAAGCTCGATTCTCGCTTACTCTAATGACAAAACCGATAGGAAACTATAATGAGCAACCTGCCATACTTAGTTGAAAAGCCAACACGAATAAATGCGCAAGGTTAATTACCCATATATATATATATATTAAGAACTCCTGATGCTAATTACTCCATATAGGAGATACGAAAAGCTAGCTAGTGAGCTTAACTAGTCATACGTATAGTATGAATGAAATTCAATAAATACTTCACTGCTGGCTGTCATGACGATGGCACACCCACGCCCAGAAAATCAATGAAAGGAACTTCTGTGTGTGTATCTGCTTCCTCTTGTTCCATAGAAGCTCTCGTGTTTGCAAATGCAGATGAAGTGTCGCATACATTCGTCAAGTCCTTATTTACTGTCCTATTTCTCTCATCACCACCATCACAACCAAAGACTGCTGCGTAGGGACCTGGAATAACCCTCCTGTAGTTTGGTAGAATGCTGCCATACGATGATGCAGAATTTGGATAAATTCTGTAAAGATATCTATCTGAACTTTTGGAACATTCTGAGAAGTAAATATTAAAGCAGGGGTTGAAGTAACTATTGTCCTTTCCTTGTTTCGCCATGGATGCAAAATTCCAAGAAGCCAAAGACACGGAGGGAGAATATTCTGCAATGATTCTGCTTTTATCCATGTTCCGGAAGTCAAAGAACGTTTGGGAACTAAAGATATCTTGAGATTTTGATCTTTTATTACAAGAGGAACTGTTACTGGAAGAATCATTGTAAACATCTTGGAAGACTCTCTTCCCACTCAGCTGCTGCTTGGATTGTTCTCTTTGCTTTCGTGCCATAATAACGTGCCAGTGATTCTTCACAGCGTTATCAGTTCGACCAGGAAAAAGCCTCGCTATCAGTGCCCACTTGTTCCCGTGAATGCGGTGAGCTGCCAGCAATCTTTCTTCCTCTTCTTCTGTAAACGGCCTCCTGTTAATCCTCGGATCAAGCTGATTAAACCACCTTAATCTGCAACTTTTCCCTGCTATCGGGGAATATCCCAAAACAAGATTGATTGATTAATATGATCTCGGGATTTTTATATGTAGATTAATAGACATAACTTTCACATGTATATGCTACCCACATACAGTACATCCTCAATAATATCATGCTCAGGGTAGCTGGTGCAATAATATTCAATCAAAACAAAAGCCTTTGAAGAAAAATATGACTTTGTTGGTTGGTTTTTCATGTCAAGGGAGAAATTGAAGAAATTCAATCCAAGTCAATCAATTACCTGATCTTCCTTGGAGCTTCTCAGCAATTGAATTCCAGTTCTGGGCACCGTATTGTTCTACAAGCTGCCGGAGTTTTTCATCCTCGGCTGGCCTCCAGTGACCGCGAGGACAAGTCTTGGAGTCCTGATCACCGGCTGATGAAGCAGCTGCTACAAAATTAGAATCTTCCATGGCAGATAGCGTTGGCTATTGTGGAGGGCTCCAAATTTGCTGCAATCTCGAGGGTACGGTCAAGCACGCCGGGGAGAGAAGTGGAGAAGATATATAAGAAAGTGGAAGAGATCAGGACCAGGAGATGGAAGGAAACGAAGGGGTTGGTTAACTAGGGTTGTGAGATGGGAAGTCACTTTTGTTGGCTTTACACGATATATATTGCCCCCATAAATCTATTCGTATAAATTGAGTACTCTTCTGATTTTATTTATAAAGTGCGTTCCAAAAGATTCATTTACTTTTATTTTTAAGTTGTGATTTTTTAAATAATATTTAAAAAATATTTTTAAAATTATTCTTTATAAGAAATAAAAAAATAATATAATATCATTTTTAAAATATGTCACATAAAGGCATATTTAAAATTTTACACATTTATATTTCTGTTATTTTTTTTATATTAATATTAATGAAATTAATAGAAATCACTTATAAAAAGAATGAAATAAATATTTTAACTACAATGACCATCTTGTTATGTCATCATAGGTCCCTGCAACTTCCTTATCAGATTCCTCGCTTTACTTATTCTGTTCGTTTTCAACTCCCCAACTATTCTAATGAAGACCACGGTACCACGTTATATCAAATCCATTTGTTTGGTTACCGTATAGTTTTTACTAAAGGGACGTCTCTCCTTTGATCTAAGACTCGTCAATTATTTCAATATTCCAACATCTTTCATTAATTAGTTAGTCACATACACCCAATCCCTCCAACATTAGGGCACACGAATTATCATGGTGACCTTCATTAATTAAGCAATACGATGGTTGTTGCATAATTGCCAATTTTTAGTCATGTTTAATTTAATAATAATCCTGTTATTTTCTAAAAATATATTCATAATTATTGGTCCATAACATGAATATATGGTGTGCGTCGCATGCATCTATTTCTGCCCATGTATATTGGTACGTAGAAGATTAACAATTATTTACTATAATTCTTCATGATATCACAGATTAAACATGGAGAGTATATATCAACGCAATCAATTCACCATGAGTTGACCTTTTTTTTCTTTTAGTAACATATGATCATTGACGTCTAGATGAAACATGTGCGGTAGATGAAACTCATAAGCGTGTACATGTACATATGTTAACAGTTAATGCTAACATTGATGCGCTTCAAAAGCTTCCAAATGTTCTTAGAGAGTTCAACCCACGTCATAAATGCATGGAACAACAAGCACCACTCTGACAAAAGCATGTCCTATTTGAAGTTTAATTTACCTGGCTTTCAGGTCCACCGAGAGAACTGACTTTGGCCTTGCCACCTATAATTCCCATAATTGCCAAGCGTTGTGCTCGAACACATATTGCTATTTTTATCTTCATCTTCATTATCAACAGAACATGTACTCCTTCTGTCCTCCATATACATATGTTGAGAAAATAAACTGTGTTGTTGGCTAGAGGTCAACTATTTTAACGGTTAAATTTCCTGGGATTTGATTAAAAACATCTACTAACTATAAGGAACCTGATATTGAGTGAAATTGTGAGGAATACAAGATTAATTATATTTTTCAAAAATTTAAACATGTGATATCTGAATATCGGGAAAAAAATTTCTGATTTTGTTTTATGATATAATTGTAACTAAATTTGATAAGCCATGCGATATTTGCACGTACGTGATATGTACAAGGTTAAACTAATAGGATTTTTTGTTTTATTTAATTTTGATGGGAAGGAACTGAAAGAAGTGTCATGATCAGTTAATCTTAAGGTTTAATTCAAATGACGTGGAAGTATAATATAATATCAGGAAAAGCACTTCCAAACCGTCTGCCTTTGATTTCCATGTTTCAATTCCATGCAGATGGCAAGTCAAATAGAACAGTAAAGCACGGGAAGAGATCCTCTCCTCTCCCCTTTCCATCCTCTTCTCCTCCTCTTCTTTTTTTAATCATAAGATTAATGTTTTGGAAGGTTGAGATTTGATCTTTTTTCAATTATTTCTTTTTAATTTGTATTTACTATACTTTTAAACTTTTCAAATTAAATTTTAACAGTTTTTAAATTTAATTATTTATTTTTTTATAATTTAAAATTTTATAATAATAATTTTATAAGAGATCAAATCCATACCCTTCAAATTTTAATCTTATGGTTAGAAAAGGAAAAGAATGGAAAGAGGATGGGAGGGAAAGAGGAGAGAATCCTCACCCGTAAAACACACATAATGAAGTAAATGTTATTATAATGTGCTGCTTCGCCGATTGAGATTTCATATTCCACGAAATCAGGTACTTGGCTTTCCTTCTAAATCATAAAAGTTTGCGCGAATTAACATCGAATTAAACCGCTAGACCGTATACCACGAATGTGGACACGTGGATAAACTTAATTTGATATAACGTGCCGACGGTTTCTTTCACTTTTGCGCATTCATCCAATTTGATTTTTGTATCATCTAACGACGTCCATAGTATTATATTTTGGTCTACAGTCGGTTTTAGTGCGATTATATTATATTTCAACATTGCATTTTGAGTATGTTTGAACTTCAAAACACATTCTGGGCCAAAAAAACTTCAAACCACACGTGTTTCACATGGCTTGGATTTGTGCATATTACTAGAGTAAATTAAATCAAACCTCACACACGGGCATCACTTACCCATCCAGTACACAGCATGGAGCATAGGACACACAACATTTGACTAACTCACACCCACAAACCTCACCTAAATCCTCCACCTAATTTTGGGCCTGCAGGAGACAAAACCCACAACCCCATTATCAATGGGAAGGCAGGCTTAATTTCAATATAAATAAATATGGAAGTTTTGATTAAAAATTTTAATTAGAAGCATAAAGACTAGAGAAAACATGGTTTTGTTAATGTAAAATCCTATTTTATTTCGTATTGGTGTTGATAAACTCTCAGCATAACTAACAATCTCACTATTCATCCAAGCAACTATTTCTTGGTTGGATAAAAATTAAAGTACATAATCGTCCAAGGAAATAAAATTGATCTTCAAACGTACTGGTAGTTTTGTGGTCAAAAAACCGAAAGAACTACTACACGTATTAATTCATTTCTAGAATTTTTTTAAGAGTGGATTTTAATTATGGTCTTCCTCTTGTCATTATTTGAATTGAAATTGAAACTACTTATATGCTGAACTGCTTACAGCTGGTAATCAATAGCACCCTGACCTGGCCAGGTCAGGAAGACTCAGTCCAGTCACAATTGCAAGCAAATTAGTTGCAACGAGTTATAGCTGCATAATCATAAATAATCCCCTTTAATTGAAGTCCTATACACACCCAAATTTCCATGCAGGTCTTCAAATTTCCACTCTGACCCATCGCACGGCCTGCTAACCAATATCATTCTTGCATACCACACCTGAAATTAAATAGGCTGCCGACTATATATACCATCAATTCTTAACCATTGCTTTTGGTACATGCAATCTTAATTGCATTATAAATTGAAAGAGAAAAAAAAAAGGAAAAATTAATCAATCCTTGGAGACATCAAAGGTTGATTGGTCTGGTGACCGAGGATTATCAAACTGATTACGGATGAAGAAATAAGATGAACTGTCCAAATAATTAATGGTGCAAGGAGCAATATTGCTTAACGAAGTAAAGTTGCAATAGAGGAAATAGGCCAAGTTGAGGTGGTCTCTCAAATTTGACAATGACTTCAACTAAACCCTGAAGTTCAATTCTGATATATGGATGAAATGGAATCTTAATTAAACCTATCAATAGGAAGGGGCGCTATCAAAAGGCGACAAATTTTCACTTCCTTGAAATGTAGTTTTCCTGTACCACTTTTAGTATGATTAAAGAAGATCGATACTAAGGCTCGCTAACAGCCCAAACCCTTTCTTCAAGTGGGGTCCCTATACATATGGGAGTGTTTTAAGCAACTTGAGGAGATGGACCTGACCTCAATTTGCATCAGAGTTACGGTGTAGTCAATACTCTGTCCTAGAGTTTTAGGCTCTGTAAAATTTTTAAACAAGGTAGAACATGCCACCGTTCACTGTGGGTAAAGAAAGAAGGTGATTCTATAAGGTAGAAATCTATTTTCAGTAGAGATGTTTAGGAAGTGGCCTTAACAAGTAACGTTGTTATATTATATCAGCCACGAAGTGTGTCATTTTATATATGGTTTAATTTGAAGCTAAATATAAGTATATGCCAAGGACAAGGAAGAAGTAGACAGTTTAAAAAATGATGCCTCTCTTTCTCCATGAGTTTTGCCTCTGCTTGCGTGTGTGAAGAAGAAGCATAAACAGTAGGGTTTGAAATAGCTTTCAAAGTTGCAAGAGCATTTCAGTTACTTGCACAGACAAACATCCATTTCTCTCCTTCAGCTGTCTTTATATGAAAACCATAATGTACCTCTTTCTCACACCTTCCCACGTAACCTAAGCAACCTGCCACTTTCATCATCATAACCCACACCGTAATTTGACATCAACAGCTTCTCAAATTCCTCAACAAACTACTTTGACTCTTTCTTCTCTATACAAAATTACAACCCTTCTTTAATTTCGTCATTTTCAACCAACATTGCATATTGTTACACCTTATATTATATGCTGCGGCCTTGATGTAAATTTTTTATAAGCATATTGTACTTGGTTAAGCAGCTCTAGCCAAATCGCTTTAATAAACTCTTCTAGATATTTAGCATGTAGCTTGACTGTGCAAGGGATATTTACCTACAAATTTATCCTTTCTTAGTTATCACATGCACATGCCACTTGATCATGTCGGTGGCTGAGAGCCTGAAAATGCATGAAGACGACGTCTGAATGTTCTCTGCAAATTCCCTTTGTGTTGACCATCCTGTTTTTCACTTGCTTACTAGCGGGGGTTATTCAAAGAGATACCTTTTTTTTTTTAAATTCCCATTTTTTCCAGCAGCCTTGCGACGGAAAAAGAATGAAGAACATATAAAAGTTCAAATATGCAAGACTTGACGTGTAAAATCCGACAAGCGGTGAAGTAACCCAGAAGGATAAATTTGTGAATTTGGACTCGCAATTTCGTGCTCTCGTCAGCTCACAAAACTAACATCAATAAACCCGAGTAAAATATTGCGTTTATCTTTTTCGTCTTGGAAAACATCCATATTGTGTCTAATTTTGCACGCCCTTCGT